AGGCTGGAGTGCAGTGGCGTGATCTCGGCTCACTTCAACCTCCGCCTCCCAGGTTCAAGCAATTCTCCTGCGTCCTGAGTAGCTGAGTCTACAGGTGTGCCCCAACATGCCTGGCTAATTTTCGTATTTTTTAGTAGAGACACGGTTTCATCGTATTGGTCAGGCTGGTCTTGAACTCCAACCTCAGATGCATCTGCCTCGGCCTCCCAAAGTGCAGGGATTAGGCGTGAGCCACCATGACCAGCCCATTTTGTTTAAGAAACAAGGTCTCCTTATGTTGCCTAGGCTGGTCTCAAACTCCTGAGCTCAAGAGATTCCCCCTGCCTCAGCCTTCCAAAGTGCTGGGATTACAGATGTGAGTCACCACACCTGGCCTTTTTTTTCCTTCGAGACAGGGTCTTCTTTGTCACCTGGGTTGCAGTGCAGTGGTGTGATCATGGCTCACCACAGCCTTGACCTCCCAGGCTCAAGTGATCCTCCCACCTCAGCCTTCTGAGTAGCTGGGATTATAGGGTGCTCGCCTAACTGATTTATTTTATTTTTTGTAGAGACGGGGGTCTCTCTATGTTGCTCAGACTGGTCTTGAACTCCTAATTTCAAGGTATCCTTCCTCTTTGGCCTCCCAAATTGCTGGGATTACAGGTGTAAAGCACCACACTTGGAAATATGGGAAGATTTTTTTTTTTTTTAACCACACAGAAAAAATTGTATCTGTTTTCTGCAGAAAGTCTGTTTCCTCTGTATTGTGTGTTTGGTCTACTCTTCCAACTTAAAGTTTTATTCAAACTCCTGTGACTCCTTGACTTCATTCATGATTAAGATGGAAGCAGTTGGAGGGGCCTAGAAACTCAGGGTGCATAGGCAGAACTCATGGGCAGGTGCACCCTACTCTAGATGGAGGCTCCAAGCTGGCTTTTTTCTAGAGCACCCTCCAATGTCAGCATCTGAAGGTCTTTTCTTTGGGGTCTTTGGTCTCCCGCCTTGGGAATATATACCTTGCTGTCTGCATTCCCGGCACAAAGCGAGGGAGGGGGCTTACCCAGAGAGACTGTCACACAGTCTGGCTTTTCAACCACTCTCTCTTTTTTTTTTTTTGAGACAGAGTCTTACTCTGTTACCCAGCCTAGACTGCAGTGGTACAATCTTGGTTCACTGCAGCTTCCGCCTCCCAGGTTCAAGCAATTCTTATGCCTCAGCTTCCTGAGTAACTGGGATTACAGGAGCACACCACCATACCCAGTTAATTTTTGTATTTTTAGTAGAGACTGCGTATCACCATGTTGGCCAGGCTGGTCTCAAACTCCTGACCTCAAGCGATCCACTCACCTCGGCCTCCCAAAGTGTTGGGATTACAGGTATGAGCCACTGCGCCTAACCTTCAGCCACTCTTTATCCTCATCCTGATTGTGCTTGCTCTCCCCGTGACTGGAGCATCTCCACTGCAGTCCTTGAGAGAGGAAGCGTCTGGCCTCTTCCTGGCAGAGTAGCCTGGTTGTGTTGGCTGCGGGAAGGGACTCGGGAAATCTAACTCCTCCATGTGCAGATTTTTAACCAATCTCCCTGTTTTCAGTCCAGGTGTCATCCCTACCAAACACTTCCACATGCTGAGGCTTGGCCTTGGGCAGAAATCAGTCATGTCCTCTCGGTAACCCCCTTTGCTGGCTTCAGGTTGTAGCTTCCTTTGCTCTCTGCCAAGCCCTCCGTACAATTTCCATCTTCAAAATCTTGTTGACATTTCTCATCTGCTCTGGTTTCCTCTCCCTTCTCTTTGCCCTTGAGAGTTTATACCGTTCTTCTTCCTTTGCTGTCTTTTAAGGGGCTTAGGGAGTGAGCAAACACAGATGTGTCCAAAGTGGTACTCAAAAACATTTTATGAAGATAATATGCTGCAGGGTTAATTGTAAAGATTATTGGGTAGATATTAGAAGAATCATAAGAAAGCAAAACCTGAGAAGGTGATGAAAGTGGGGAGCTGTTTGCTGTGTCTCGGCTTCCCCAGTAACCAAAGGCAAGCCCTGTCCCCAGGCTCCCCACTCTGCACCAAGCAAGAAACCATGATGGGTTCTGATGTCTTTTAAAATGGAAGATGGAAAAATGGAAGAAGGCACAGAAGGTGAGGAAGGGCACACTCTTTGGAACTGACATCCCTCCCCTCCCTGTGACCAATTCTAGACCGGGGAAGCTGCTGGCAGAGAGAGAAGGCAGGCAGGGGCAAAAGTAGATGCCTGACCCCTGGCATGAGGTCTGAGAAGAGGAGACCTGCCCTGGGAACTGGTGACTTGTCTGTATTGTCACTAGTGTTGTAGAGAGGCACTGCAGATGGGTTGGCTAGAGTGACATTGCCTGCCAGACTGCTTCCCAAGACAAATCATTCAGGAAAAGAGTTGGGTCTGCTACCTGGCAGTGCTTTCTTAAGTGGGGTGGGGTCTACAGAAGAAGAAAAGGCTGCACTGTGTAGGAAGCTTATGGTGTTTGCAATGAGAATGTGGGAGTCTGACTCTTGGCTCTATGACTTTACAACTACTTGAGCACAGCACTTAACCTCTTCAAGCCTCAGTTTTCTCTTCTATACAATGGGGATAGTACTCCCACCTCATGCAGTTGTGAGGATGAAATGAGGTAGGCCTGTGCTTGGCATGCTGCAGGTACTCAAAAATGGCTTGTGAATGTGATAAGAACGATACTAGAGGCAGAAATCTCCCTGCATCCCTCTCACTCCTGCCCGCTAATTCCTAGCCCACATCTATTGTAAATGACTTACAAAAGGGGTGGAGCCTGGGAAGTGATCCTCCCACTTCCACTCACAAGGGATGCCCGGGCCCTGCTGATTTCTTCCCTTTGGGCACTGTCCAGAGACCCCAGGAAGAAGTAGGTTTGAGTGCCTGTAGGCAGCCCTACCTCCAAGTGTTTGGGCTCTGGTGCCCCACTCTCTGAGCCCACCCAGAAAGGCCGGAGGGAGGGAAGGGAATCCCTGGGGCTCTTCACAGCCTCCAATCTTCCCCTCTCCTTCCCTTCCATCTGGAGAGCAGGCTCATGGGAGCCACGTGAAATCAGAAATCCCTTTTGTTCCACAGAGACTCACCATCTTTTCCCAAGACACAAGGCCAAGAACTGCAAAGCCCAGAGTCTCAAAGGTAGCAGTTAAGGCTGCTAGAAGCATGGGACGGGCATTCAACTCCCTTCCAGCTGTCTGCTGAAACGGGGCCTCTGGTCATCTAGACGAGAGATCTTGGGGGATCCTTGGGTTACAGCAGTGCTGATGAGGACTGGAAGATGGTTAGAGGAACCCACACCATACACAAGGTCACACGGGCGTGTGCATATGAACATGCGTGCAATTTCTCATATTGAACTCCCTCATACATGCCCTCTTACACACAGGCCAGCTTCTCATGCCAGAGAACACATCTCACTCGCCTGCATTTGAAGTGGCACAGGCACCCCTCCCATCTGCTCGAGCTTAAGCTTGTGAGGAAGGGTAAATGGGGTCACAGGAAGTTTTGTAAAAATTAGGCTGGCTAAGAGCAGCCTGATTTCCGGGAAACCATCAGCTCCTTCCTACCCGTCATCAGATAAAGGATTGTTTCCAGGGGTTAGGTGAACAACATGCTTAATAGAATAGGTGCTGAGTTGATGATTCCTCTCCTAGAGGTACAGAGACACACCCTGGAGTGTTTGGGTATAAAAAGCCCTTCTAAATATCAACATCATGCTGTCATGATGTGTGATGATTTAGCTCACAGCAGTGTCGATAATTTGAGAGATCCTGGAGAGCTGTTTCAAGGATAGAGATGGGGGAGCAGGTTGTCATGTTCCCATGACAGCCTATCTCGTTGCCATAGCAACACAACTCTGCCTCCATCCTGTGGAGTCGCAGTTTCCGTAATGGGTGGAACACGGTGGCACTTCACCGTATGGGGATGGGTCCTATGATCTCTCTGGGAAAGAACGTTTTCATCCTAGACTGTGCAGGATAGGGGTACCCCGAGGCTGTTAAGTAGTGCTGTGTTTTCTTGTCGGCAGGAGGGTGGATTTCCTGGGGTTTTCCCACTGACGAGCTCTACTTCTTCCGACCACAATTTCTACTCCCCAGCGATTGCACCCCCAAGTAAGTCCCCATGAGGCAGGCTACCCTTTCTTGATCTGCACCTGGCTGACTCAGATGGAAACCCTGCCCTGGCAGAGAGGCATGACATGTCAGTGGGGAAGACAGGCTCTGGCATCAGGAGACCTATTAGGCTTGGAGCTCATTGCTGATGTGCCTGGAGTGAGTGGTTTATCCTTCTTGACTTCAGGGTTCTACCTGTAAAGATTGGGCTAATACATGCCCATCACCCTGGGTAGTTATGAGGATGAAGAAAAGCAATATGTGTAAAGACCCAACCTGGCTCCCTGGAGGGGAGGGGGAAGAGTGAGTGGCTGGTCCACTGTGGATGCCCCTCGCATCCAAGACCCCAACAGAGGTCTGACTGTGGGGCTTGGGTAATATTTAAGTTTTAATGGACAGGGCAGTGATTGGCATCATCTTCCAAATCAAGCTGCCCAGCTTCCATGGGAAAGGGAAAGGTACTTAATCAGTCCATCTCCTCCATGCCACCCTTATCCCCCAGTACTACTCAAAGTGTGGGCAGTGAGCCATGCCCCTCTGCAAAATGTTACCCATCCTCAGGGAGGTAAGTCTAGGCATTCTGAGGGCATCTCCAGAAATTTTTATAGAAATTTGATATCACTGACACATTCCAGCAGCATCCAATTTGGTCTTCTTTTGTTGTTTTTAAATTTTTCAGGGTGTCAGTGATCCATTTAAATTTTTTTTAAAGTACCAATCTGCAATGGATTGGAGAACTAACCGCCTGTTCCTTCATTACATCTAGTATTAGAAGCACTGACCTTAATGACACCAGAGGCCTCTTGAAACCAGCTAACCATCCAATGAGGACAGAAGGGGAACAGCCTCATCAGAGCGCTTTTGCAAAAATGAGCCACAGATCACACGTCGGTGAGTTATGCAACATTTCTTTTATTGCCTTGGGTTAGAAGGTCCAGTGCCCCCTCCCTTCGCCCTGCGTCCTCCCCGCCCCGCATGCTCTGACTCCTCTGGGGTCTGAAGTTCACTGCCCAGAACCTGCGCCCTCAGCCCCGCCCAGCGCCTCTGCCTTGGCTCCTGGGGGTACCGCCTCCCGCTTGCCGAAGCGCAGGCCGAAGGAGTTCCAGTTGTAGTTCGGCAGGTCCTTCTCCCGCTGCACCAGCACCGCACCCTGGGGTGCGGGGATCTGGCGGCTGCTGGGGGCGGACAGGCCGCGCCGCTGGGGGCTCCCGGAGCTCTCAGGGGGCGAGGACAGCGAGGCCCCCCGACGGCTCAGCCTGGCAGTAGCAGCCGGCTTCCTCTCGGTGCACGGCAGGCTCTGCTCCCAGGGGGCCAAGAGGTCCAGGGATTCCAGCTGCTGGCCTAGGACAGAGAGCACAGAAAGATGAGGCCAGGGTCCGGGAAAGAAGGCTTTGCAACACCTCCTCACATCCCATCCTATCCTTCTTTTCCTTCCTTGACCTTTTGACCTTTTGGAAGGCTAAATGCCATGCGGAACCAGCACGATCATCTTAGCTGGGATGATTAGGCCCTAGGTGCCTCCCTCTTCCAACACAGCTTTGATTTAGAATGTTTGCCAGAATTATCTTAAACAACTTTCATATTACGTTACTTCCTTTTAGGAAACAAACAGGGTAGGGCATTGAAATAAAGAAAACCAAAGTATTTGCTGAACACCCAGCTCTGGGCCCCTTCCTGGCTGTGAGCAGCCTGGGCAGTGGAGCCATGTTAATTCATCTCTGTATCTCTCATAGTGCTTGAAACAGTGGCTTGCTCATAGTAGGGTCTCAATAAATGCTTGTTAAATACGTAAAAGCTAAAAATGTGTAGTAACAGAAATCAAGAAAGTGGAACTAAGTCATTGTGGTCCCACACACCTGTGTTCCAACAATGGTCTTTGATAAGAATTGTGACCCCCCCCGCCCACCTCCACAATAAGCTACATAAGGACTCAATGAGAGACAAAAATTATCTAGGTCACTTTAACTGGCTGTCTTCCTCCATCCTGGGTATAACTTCTCTCCTTCGTTCTGAGGATTAACAAGGCTAATTTGGAAGGCACTTCACATGCAAGGCTCATTAAGTTCACTGTACTTTTTGGCTGTAAAATAGGGCAACTAGCTCTGAGTAGACAATAACCCCAGCCCACTGCAGCAAGAGATTAGTGGAAACGAGGTCTGGTGTGTGAATGGGTGTGAATGGATGTGCTAGGGCGGGAGTTGGCTTTGAGCCCCGCTCCTCCATGCCCTGGCACACTCTGGAAAAGAGGAGTGTGGACCTGGTCCAGAGTTAATGGCTGTCGCCTGTGAGGTCCCTCCGCCCTTGCTCAGGGCCTGGCTGAGATAGGAGGAGGATGGCTTCCTCCCCAGTTGCACACACTAGACCAGCAGTAAATCACTGTTCAGGCTGCTGTTGGTGACCTCACCTAAAGCCTTTTGCCAAAAAGAGCCAACAACTCTATGTCCCTGGGCAGTGTGGGGTTATTGTCTGGGGAAGCCTCCTTCAACCAGAAAAATGCCTGATCCCAAGACAGGAGACACACTTGGCAAACAACACCCAGGGCCGTGTCTTCTGTGCTCTGGGAGGTCTTATGGGCATATACGATGACATCAAATGTATAGAGGGCATGCCCCAAGTTTTATAGCTGGAGGAACTGAGGTCCAGAGAAGCTAAGTCATGGGTTCTCGTTTGCCCAGAAAGCTGACACCAGGACGTGTGCCAAGCCACAGCTCCTGACTTGGGGACTAGTATTATTCTAGCTTGTGCCACTCACCAGACACACTTCTGGGGAGCTCTGACACCTGCTGGGTTTCCACGGTGTTTGAGTGACTCTGGGGAAGTCTACCTCTGTGGGTCTCAAATTTTCTAGCTCATCAGTTCCCCAGTGAACTGGAAACAGTTCATTGTCCCCAAAAGTTAATAGGTATCAAATATCTGTCCTTTCATTTAGTGTTTTTTTTTTTTTTTTTCAAATTCTTCACAAAGAATCTGAGGTCACTGATAAAGGAAGGTTGCATATGAAGTTCCTTCTCAACGTCGGCACAGAGAGGTTGCTGACGTAGAGCAGAGAACACAGTGTGAGGAAACCATGAAGGAGCTCAGGGGTTAACAAGCCCTGGAACCTAGGTGGGCGGACTGAGGCCATCACAGAGGCAAGTCATCCCTCACTTGCAGGGTTAACGGGAGCCCTCAATGAGTTGCACATGTGCCAGGCTTAGATTTCCACCGAATGCAATGTTAAACTCACACCAGTCGACTAGCTGGAAAATACGGGAAAGCTCATTTTGCAACAACCCCCTTGCTCCCTCCCACTTCTTTCCCCAGAGGATACATACCTGTGGGTCTAGAATTCTCCACAGAGGCCACCTTTTCTAATGGCTCCCCAAAGTGGGTGGCACAGAGGAAAACCAGTAGCTGCCAACAAACCAGTGAGTTCATCTTGGTGAGAAGAGGCAGGTCCTAGAAATGTCTTGAGGCTGAGACAGAGAGAGGGAACAAAGACTAGGTCAGGCACGGGATCTGGGCTGGGTGCTGAGGGTAGAGCCCAGTGCAAAAGGGACAGTCCTCCAAGAGAGGGGAAGGTTCTTGCCTTGGGAGGCTCCCGGTAGAGGGATGAGTCTAAACAAATATATCAGTGAAATGGGATTGAGACTCTTTGCACAGTGGAGTTAAAGCTGAATTCATGCTAGGTGAGGGTCATCAGGGAGGGCTTCCTGGAGGAGATGAGGCCAGTAAAGTAAGGAAAAAAGGAAAGACCCAGTTTGGTGGAAGGGGCAGGACTGCTCAGGTCAGAGAATGGCCAGGATTCTGAATCTCAGGGTTGCTTGAGAGGAATGTTGGAGAAAGGTGGGGTGAGATGCCGTGTATAGGAGTGACTGGGGAGGGGTGAAGTAGGGCAAGGACTTCAGGGCACTGAGTGGGGGACTTTGAGGTTCCAACATTCTCTCTGGAGCCTGGCAGCAGGCACTTCTTCCTTCCATGGTGGGTTCTGCACAAATCCACAACTTTCTGTGTTCCACTCTCCCCATCCATATGCCTGAATCTGACCTCGTTCTCTCCTGCTGTAAGAGAAACTTAATTCTTTTTCTTTTCTAAAGAAAAAGAAAGAAAGAGGCGATCATCTTGCTCTCTCTCATAGCCCTTCACAACTTTAAAGATGGTCATTAAATTGTCTTATTGCCCTATCATTCAGGGAAAAGAAAAACCTTTCCTTGATTTATCAGGTCAATTATCTCCAAAGTCTATTCTTCGTGAACTCTGAGAGGCTATGAATTGAATTGGCCTCATCGTTTTTGGCTGCTGAGATGGGAGCCATGTGCCCTGATCCTCACACCATTTCCCATCACCCTGCCTTGCTCTGCCCCACTGACCCCCACACGTGCTGCCCCACCTCTTCCAGCTCCCAAGTCTAATTTCTTTTTGAAAAAGTCACCAGACACTTTGAGACTGTCCAACAAACATGATTAAAGACAAAATGCTGGGGAGGCAGGAGCACTGCCAGCTGAGCAAAAAGATTGTCCTGGCCCCACTCACAGCCTGGAGCCACTCTCCCAGGGGAAGGGGGACTGGGGGATGAGAACCATTTGTGCCCATCAGCTTCTAATGGTGGCTCAGGCCCATGCATCTTTCTGCTCTTGCACCCCCACCTCCACCCCCCATTCCTCACCATGCAGGACTCAGGCATGGAGTAAAGAGTAAGAACCCTGAAATGGAATCAGGAGTACTTGAATCTTGCCCCAGCTCTGCTTTCATTCCCTGTGAAATGTGAGCAAGTCACCCCCATCTCCAGACCTCATTGGTCCATCTATAAAATAAGAACCCTGGATCAGATTGGCCACCAGCCGCCTGCTCAGAAGTTTACTTATCCTTGCAGATTTTGATTCTGTGACAAGTTGAAACTCAGACCACAGCTTTCTGCATTTGCCTTAAGGCCCAGAGCTGGGGCATGGAGTAGAGGTAGGATTAATTAATTGGAGAGAATAGTGTAAAAGCATTTCAGACCGTGGATGCACAGGGTCTGGGTTGATTTGAAAATCACTCCTTGAGCACTGACTAGGTGCTGGTGCTGTGCTAGGTGCTAGGGGTGCACAGGTGTGCTAAGACGGAGTTGCTGCCCCCAGGATCTCAAGTCTAGTATGAGAAATTGACTCATCAGCAGACCATTTCAAAATAACACTGTAAATGACACACTGGATGCATGTGAATCCACAAGGGGATATGGGAGTCCAGGGGAACCTGACCTAGGGGTTCCAGGCAGATTTTTGGCAGGGGGTGGCACCTGAGCTGTTTCTGAGCATGAATCGCTGAAAGGTTTATAGAAAGTGTTCCAGGCACGGTGCTAAGGTGCTGGAGCAGGGGCGGGGGCTGGGTGGAAAGGGAACTTCAGGCCCTCTAGCTAGACAAGAGGGTGGAGCTTTGCATGGAAAGAAAGCAAGTGACAAGGCTGGGGAAGGGGCCCTGCGGGGGCTTCATCCTGGAGGGATCTGAGCCAGACAGGAATGTGTGTAGATGTACATTTCAGATGGAGCATTCTGGTTCTCTGTGCAGAAGCAGGGTGGTGGGCGAGGAAGGAGGGCAGTGGGCTTGTGTGGTTGGAGGGTGGTGCTCTTTCTTCCTGCTCCCCTTTCCCCCCAGAGTGCCTCCTTCCCATTGTGGATGCACTTACCATGTGCGCCATGGGAGAACTCTGCCTGACCCTGGCACACATACACACACACACACACACCACACACATACAGCACACACACCACACACCACACACATACACCACACACACCACACATGCACACACACCACACACACATACATGCATATACCCATACACACATATCATACACACACACCCCACACACACCACACACATATACACGCATACACCCATACTCACATCATACACACACACCACACACACCACACATGCACACACACCACATACATATACGTGCATACACCCATATACACACATCATACACACACCACACACACACACGCCACACACATATACACACATACACCCATACTCACATCATACACACACACCACATACATATACATGCATACACCCATACACACACATCATACACACACCACACACACACACGCCACACACATATACACGCATACACCCATACTCACATCATACACACACACCACACACACCACACTTGTACACACACCACATACATATACATGCATACACCCATATACACACATACACACACTACACACACACACACCACACACATATACACACATACACCCATACTCACATCATACACACACACCACATACATATACATGCATACACCCATACACACACATCATACACACACATACACCACGCACACCACACATGCACACATACACCACACACATATACACACATATACCCATACACACACATCATACACACACACCACACACACCACACGCGTGCACACACATCACACACATTTACATGCATACACCCATATACACACATCATAGACACACATACACCACACACACCACACACATATACACACCTATACCCAAATACACACACACCACACACACCACACACGCACACACACCACACACATATACACATACACCTATACACACACATCACACACACACATACACACATACATCCATACACACACATTATACACACTACACACGTGCACGCACACCACACAATATACACACATACACCCATACACACATCATACACACACGTATATACACACATACATCCATACATACACATCAAACACACACACCCCACACATACCGCACATGCACATACACAATACACAGATATACACCCATACACACACATCATACACACACACATACACCACACACCACACATGCACACACACATCACACACACATCACACACATATACACACATATACCCATACACACACATCATACACACACATACACCACACACACCACACATGCGCACACACACATCACACACATATACACATACACCCATACACACACATCATACACACACACACACACACACACATACACACAGATTCCCTCAACTCTTCGTTCACTGCCCAGCCCATCAGGGCACTTGATATATGTGGTAGAAATGAATTATCTGGAAAGGGGCCATGAGTGGCCAACCTGCTGTAGACAATTTTCGTGGTTCCCTCCACCCTGGGGGGCTTGTATCCAGTGAGTAACAGAGAAATTCCAGGCATGGTTGGAAAGCTTTTGGAATGAGGTGGCCCCTAGTTCTTAGTGGGTAGGTAGGTAGGTGCCCTTGGTGAGGCTTGTGTTTGCCATCCGTAATTTAGGGGAGCTGCTCAGAGGAGCCCCATTGCTCTCGGGAGACCTGAGGGGTTCCCCAGGCCCATCCGAGTGTCTGTGGTCTCTAATTCCAGCCACAGCAAGAGAGAGCCCTCGGGATCCCCAGAGTGCTAGCTTCACAAATAAAGTGCAACTCATTGTATTCACTCAGGCATCCCAGGATAATCTGGCCAGGCTGGTAAACAGGAAAGATCAGTGTCTCCCTCCCCTGCCTTTGCCTGCCCGGAAGCATCTGTCCGTCTTAGAACGGATTCCCTGCTCCCCTCTGGAGCATCCCCAGGTCAGGGCAGACCCCCTTCCCGAGGGTGGACGCCGCAGTGTGCCTACCTTACCTCAGTCCTGGCCTGGGCGGGAGTCTGGCGGAGCCTCTGAGGTGATGAGACCACCTGGCTGGGTGAACGTCCAGAGGGTGGGTAGCTGGGCTCCCAGGCTCACTCTCCCCAGCTCCCTGATCACATTCCTTTTATAAAGCCCAGGGTGACGTCTCTAAGTACAGGCCCACTCTGCCGCCCCTCCCTCCTCCTCAGACCCTCCTGGAGAGCACAGCACCTTGGCAGGCCTCTGCCTCCGGGCTCTGTGACTGGAGGCAGCCTCTCCTCCCACCCCACCCCCGAGCCCTCCGAGGCGGGACTTTCTCCTTCTCACAGGCTCTTTCCATCCTCCACACCCTCTTCCCACCCAGAGGACCCATCCTGCCCCCAAACAACATGGAAATGGGCTATTTGAGGAGGGCAGGGAGAGGTGTCAGTGTGAAATGTCTTGTTTCCGCTCTGACAAGAGCCACCGTCACACCTAGTCTGAATCAGACGTAGAAAAGGACAGGAAGAGGGGAGGAGAAGGGCACAGGCTGACCCGGGGACTCCTCAAAACCGGGTCAGCGTGGGTCTCCAGGCGGCTCCTAGACTGGACCCTGTGACTGGCGCAGGGTGGAGGTGGCAGAGATTCTCTCCTTTTTTCTTCCTTCCTGCTTCCCTTCTTTCCTTGGTTACTAAGCACTTCCTCGGCACAGGGTTTTGAGGTGAATACGCTGTGGCATGGTCAGAGACCTTAGGTAAGCAGCCAGCTATGAGCAAGGAGGATGAAATGGGAGCTCTAGAAGGTGGATGCACCTGGGAAGTGCCAGGGCTGCAGAGAGGGGACTTCCAGGTGGCAGTACATCCGGCCAGCCTGCTTGGGGGCCCCACTTCCTTGTCTCATGGCACCCACCACCATACCATTTTGTGACTGCTCAGGTACAGCACTTTGAGGACAGGGACAGGCTCCCTTCCCCCTGTACCCTCGGCACCCACTCCATTGCTGGGCACATAGAGAGAGGGCCCTCAATAGATATTTGCTAACTGCATGCATCGCAAGTGACTTTTGTCTCTTTCTTGAGCCTGCAGGAACTCTCTATACCCTTGGACAAGGGGCTCTCCAGGGCAGGGACTGTTTCTTCTCTCAGGCTGGGAGTCTCTGAAGGCAGGGGCTATGTCTCTACCCTCAGACAGGACGCTCTCCCAGCACAAGCTCGACCTGGTGGTCCCCTAATGCTGGAGAAGCATGCTGGCAGTCTGCAGGTTAGCACTCCTCACTTGTCTGGTGCTTACTGTTAACAGGGCTT